AAGCCACGGCATGCTAGAAATGTCATAGCTTATTTTTATTCTATCTTACTTTATTTATATTGTAAACATATTGAATATATATAGCATTCTTGGTTGTTGCCATTATTTCCGGTGCGAAAGCTTTTACTCGTTCCCAGAAAAACTGACATTGCCGTGTTACATTCATGTTCTGTGTGAAAGTATTCATGACATAAAACATATTGACATTTGAAATATTATAAAAAGAAGAGGTGGAAAAGCCTTTTTTCGGAAAGGCTATTTGCCTGGTCCATAACCTTCATTTAACCTAACATTTGTAACCCTTAAATGTTGTGATAACCTCATTGGGACTTGGAATTTGTCCACAAAAGAAAGTCTCCAATGTGACTTTATAAAAACAGATTTATGTCCCCACACTACTCACACACACATGCACAGTTTATATCTTCCTCACATGCACACACACAAAGGCTGTAAAATGAAAATCAATGTGAGTAGACCTTCACTGTCACTGCAGTAATGACTGGGACAGCTGAGCAATGAGGTTGGCAAGAGTTATAACAGGTACAATTAGCGCAGTAGCACACACACACAACACACACACACACACACACACACACACACACACACACACACACACACACACACACACACACACACACACACACACACACACACACACACACACACACACACACACACACACACACACACACACACGTTGTAGCACAGGCTTAACCACAGATAAGCGAGGTTGGCAGTTAAATCCAGTTGGAGGACAGACTGCGAGGCCGGGAATAAAGAGACAAAGACAGAGAGGGAGGCATCAAAAGAAAGAGGGCACAAAAAGCCAGAGGGAGAGAGATTTAGATTTGGATGGGGGGGGGACATTTCGAGGCCTGGCACAGAATTAATTCACAGCATCACCAGCAGCAACACCAGACAGGCCTGGCAATCAACAGCTGAAGGGACCTCATTACTTCAAGGTCACACACACCTAACACACACACAGATGAAACTAGACCGAGGACATGGCGATGTTTCACATGAATTCTCCTGATTCCTCCTCCAATGTTGATGTTTTAAATGATTTGAACTCCTCTCTGGTATCACCACATTTGAAGTGGTATTCTCTGCACTCTGTCTTTATTGACTGTTTGGGGAGCTGAGTGGAAGGATTAGTCGGCAACTTGTGCGAGCATTGATTAGAGAAGTGCAGGACTTAAATAAGACTCCTACACCCAAATACTGCTTCACACCCCTGTGGGCTTTGAAGAGGATCCTAAACCACTTTCAATTATGTTTACTCTTAGCCGTTAGCTTGGTTACAAATCTGATTGTGTATGTCTATCCATTTTACGAGTAAAGAAAAATACAAATGTTGAAAATAGACTTGATCTTTTCAACTACTAGTGTTAGTGATTATACTTTATTCTAGATATTTTAACTTGATTCTCAAAATAATAAATACTTCTCCGTATATACATTTTTGGTTGTTTTAAAATGACTAAATGACATATTTTAAGATGGTGCACAGTGAAGTTTAGTAGGGCTTCTATTTGTTTACTTATCGTCTTGCTTAGGCGTCTGAAATGGTTTCATCAACTTCAGAATCCACACTTTGTTGCTCACTTGTACTCATATTACTCAATAAATACATTTTGGATGCTTCTGGGAATCATTTTGTTCTTGTGGAAGTGCAGCTCAATTCCAACTATTGCCACTTTGCCAGAATGACCCTAAGGCACAGCGCGGCTCATGACAAACTATTCCTACCTCGCATTAGACATAACTCTTTAGGTGTAGATTCACACAGTATGAAGGTTATTTGTAGGGCCACTAGGCTGCGGAGATATAACTTCCCGGTCACTTCACTTAAGAGGTATTGCATACTGGAGAGACAGATGTATTTACACCATTTCAACCTCTGGCGAGAAAGTGTATTTGCACTGCAATCCATGTGCTTCCTACACTTATTGTTAGTACCATCCCAAGACACATAAATGGTGTGCAAAAGTAATTTAAGAGAGGACCTTCCTCTGTGTGATGTGCTGAATGTTGAGCAGCAGGAGGCTCGCTGTTCTGACACTGACTACTAAAACTGTCTCTGAAATACATTTCTCAAATCTCATGTTCTCAGTAACCTGTAACCCTCTCCTCGATACTCTTTGTCTGTGAGGTAAAGGTTGGCGGCAGAAAGGCTATTCTCCTGGCATTTGGTCCAAAACCTCTTGAGACTGTAGGTATAACTGTGATTTAGCTCAAATCCACCGCGGTGCACTGAGGTCTGAGTGCTGTCTGATTATTCTGACCTGGTGTTTGAAGGTCTGTCTGCAGAATCGCAAGAGGTTGTTTCTACGAATGCAACAAGCTAATCAGTGTTTGGCTCATTAGAAATAAATTTGCTTAATTAAAGGGAGCCACAATCGATGGAGTAGAAGGGGAGAAGAGAGTGGGGAGAGGAGGGTTTATATTTACGACGTGGTTGATGACAAAAGGAAGGAGAAAGCATCCAATAAAGCAGTGAGCAGGAGAAATGAGGGACCGCTATGAAAAAGAAGCAGGAGCTAAAGAAGATATATTGCCTGACTAATATGGACGGTGTGGTTTTCCATTTTAACCTTGAGGAGGAATACAAATCCTATACACACACAACCACACACACACACACACACACACAATCTTGACTCATAAGCCTCTGGTTAGATCCTGCATGAAATCCGTAAAAGCCTCCAATCACGTATGAAAGGGAGAAATGTAGCACGCACATTATATGCAAATTGTTCTTACTCTAATACCGTCTGATGGAAAACAATACATGGGCGAAGAAAAAGTCAATATGTTTTGAAGCAAATATAATCTGTGAAGTGGACCGGTGTGCAGACAGGGATCAATTTGAGCAGCAGCCATGCAGGGCGGGTGGCCGCAGCCTTCTGTCTCCATTAGTCCACACAGGAGAAGTGGAGGGGACAATTTCACCCAATTTGTCTGTAGACTAATGCATTCATCTCTGAATAGCAGCCGCACTCGGGATGTTTAATTTTGAAATGCTCTCCAGCTAAGCTTACTCATTACACTGTGACAAAACGGAATCGATTCTTATTCCACACCGTATTAAAGCAAATCAGGTAGAAAGTTAAACCACATCCAGGTACTTTTCGAATACTTCCCATTAACATATCAAGCAAAGAAAGAGCCTTGCAATAGTTTGTAACAATGTGTAATATAAAATAGTTTTTAGCCAAGCTAGTATTTTTCGCCAGTTGGTTGGTCAGTCAACAACATTGGTCAAAAACTAAAACATTACAACAATTATTGGATGGATTGCCATAGAATTTGGAATGTATGTTCTCTTAAGAATCAATTGTGTCTGAACTCTGGAAACACAGGAACAAAATAAAGCTTAGATGGTATGCTGTGCACCATTGTTTAAATCAGTTGAGTAAAGTGATTTGCTTTTAATACACCTCTAAGAAGTTGTAGGAAAGTAGAGTATTAAACACAAAATATCATTTAAATGTCATCAATGAACACTGAAAAGACTGGAAAGCTGTTTGTGGGAGAACACACTGCTCACACAATCCACTTCTAACACACTGCCAGGGGAAATGTGTGGCGCAATTTGCACGCATGCAACCAAATCCGGTGAGAAGATGTCATTTTTCCTAAAGGCATTTACATTGCTTCTCACAGAACAGAAACATTAAAGGGGACCTATCATGCAAAATGCACTTTTGTACGTCTTTTATACATGAATATGTGTCCCCGGTGTGTCAGGGAACTCACCAAGTGTCAGAAAACACAACCCTCTCTCTTTTCCTCCATACCCAAAATCTTAGCATCTTTAACGGATCTGATACAGACTGATACAGATTTGAAAATAGTCTGACGTCAGTGACGAGGAGCTCCGCCTATATGGCCAACTCTCCACCAATCAGGGGAATGAGAGGTTGCGTGGCATGGTAACAGCATGGTAACAGCATGGTAACAGCATATTAACAGCATGGTAACAGCATATTAACAGCATGGTAACAGCATGGTAACAGCATGGTAACAGCATGGTAACAGCATGGTAACAGCATGGTAACAGCATGGTAACATGGTGCTTGTAACTCGGCCCCCTCCTTTGCAGGGGGGCGTGGTCAGCTGCAGCTCATGCAAAGACAGGGTGGAGGAGAGCAAAATAGAGCGAAATGGGGCATGGCTAAAATGCATGATCTGTTTGGTATTTTGAAAAAGAAAACGTATAAATATACCTTATATAGGTATGGCCCTACAATCTATTATTCAAATATAGCATGATTGGTCTCCTTTAAATGAAAAAGCTTTTTATTAAATCTCAATTTGACTGTTTGAACACCTTTGTATGTGTTGTTATCATTTGATTTGATTAACATTTCTTCTAACAAGACAACATGTGTTTGTTTTACTTTAAGATAATCCTTGCCATTGGGTGCAGCTACTATCTTTGTACCGCAGATTATAACAAGAACGCCCCTCAACACTTCGCATTGCGGTCTCCAGTGTCAGAAATATTCTTCAGTATATCCTTTGAGAAATAAATGATGTTGTGTGGGGAACATGTTAGGGCACAACGATGCTGCTTTAATTCCTGAAAACAGTTTTCTGCTGGACTAATTGTCTATCATGAGGGGGGAGCGTCCGATCCCACCTCATGCCTGTAATGATAATAGCTTCTCGCTGTTAGCTGTTAATTACTGCTGCTCTGCCCGCGTGTGCCTGTGTGTGTGTGTGTGTGTGTGTGTGTGTGTGTGTGTGTGTGTGTGTGTGTGTGTGTGTGTGTGTGTGTGTGTGTGTGTGTGTTCATTATGCTGAGCACGCTCGATGGGTGTGTGCATCCATGAGTGAAAGCACCACTCTGCTGGAGAGGCAGGAAAGGAGAGCGTCTATAAGTTGGATAGAGACTCAACACACAGGTGAGTCCCTGAGTCACCCTGACCTTCTGATTGGTCCATCAGCACACACACACACACGTAGATAAAATATGCACACTCACATACAGATTGCGTCTGCAGCCCGGTGCGGCGAGGTGATGTCACAGCAGTTGATCTCAGTGGTTTGTGGTTGACTCCACCATCTGGCTTGGCTGCATAACACACACAAACACACACATTGTTATATTAATGTTACAAGACCACAAAATACCTCCTTTAAAACCCATTTTCTGACACTTACAGCACACACTGAGAATATGCACACACCGTCTCTATAGAAACGCAGAAGAAACATTTACAGTAATTACAATATCTTCCACTGACACCACACCAACCGCTAATACACACACATATTCCTAGGCATGAATCATTTATTTATGTTCACATACATTTAAAAATATCCTGCTTGAAATCAATTAAAATGCAGATGTCCTTCTCTCACAGCTCCCAAACAAATCTCCCCTTTGCCGAACCGCAAAATATTCGAGTCTCTGGAGCTCCTCACCGAGCCCCGCATTAAATGAGTGGCTCTGAAATATTAAATCTGGGTGTTTCAGAGAGTGTAAACATCCCAATATGGGGCAGCGGTGACCGTTAAAAGTCCTGCTGTGAACCACGGCACTTCCAAAAATCACTTTTCTATGAATTAACCAGGGACTGTGACAGTACTGTTTCCTGCCAAGTTTTGTGTAGGTGGGACTATTTTCCTCCATCATTGTAGGCTGTAATCCTCATAATGACACGTCATTTCCAATGTAACTACTGTTGCAGGTGTAGGAAAAAAAGGACACATCAATTTCTATCCAAGAGGAACCAAATGTGTCCCTATTCTTCACCTAATAACAGCGCAGCAGTTAGAAAATAATTGGTGCTGTTTCAAGTGTTATGGTCTCGATATCCCGGATTCATGTATTTATTGAGATACATCAAATGTGATAGGCAGGCTATTTAAATAATCTTGCAGAGCCACAACGTTAATTCCATTTTTGCTCAGCACGCCTGCCAGAAATGATGACCAAAGGGACTAAACTATGTTGGAAAAACGTCAAACTCAAACCTATTGTCCGTTTGACACAGTGACAAAAGTAGGCACTCATTGCAATGTCTATACTCAATCCAATTGCTTTCTAAATGTGTGTTAGATTTACATTTTTGTCCCTTCAAATAAATGCATTAAAAACACTGTGAGACAGCTCCACTTTTGGAATATAAACAAGTATTAAATCAGTCAAAACACTTTTTTGCTTGCTCAGCCCCACCAGAAATCTGGCAATCCACCCTCTGTGTGTGTGAGGCTTACAGTATGCATTAACCAACTGCCGGATTCACTGACAACCAACATATCTTGTTTTTTTTTAGCAAAGATGCTGTCATTTCTGACTGAAAAACCTAAGCGAAATGCGCACATGGAGTTTGGTTGTGATTGACGCGAGATTGGTTCCCCCACTTTTGTACTATCAATCAGAATGGGGTAACAAAATGGACATTTACATCTAAGTGTCACAGTTTATTAATTTAACCTTCATGTGGGAAGGTTGATTAAGCACAGTTGCACTTTTTAATCAACTTTACACTCAAAGTTCTGCATTGCCCGCCTCAGTTAGGATTTTAGTGTAATGTTCAAGGGCAGTGTGTGTGCCTTAGTCTCTTTGCACACACTCCAGCTTCTCACAGGATTTAAACTGACAACTTGGGCTGTGACCTCACCTTATTTAACATTAGGCCCTGAAGTTTGTATGTAATTATATTGCCAAGCTTGGGATGAAAGTATTTAATTTAATTTACAAGCTACTTCATATTTACTTCCATTCAATGTCAATATTCCACTTGTGTGAAGGTAATGGCACTCGTACATGTCCATGCACGACTGTGCACGAAAGTGTGTGTGTGTGTGTGTGTGTGTGTGTGTGTGTGTGTGTGTGTGTGTGTGTGTGTGTGTGTTGTGTGTGTGTGTGTGTGTGTGTGTGTGTGTGTGTGTGTGTGTGTGTGTGTGTGTGTGTGTGTGTGTGTGTGTGTGTGTGTGTGTGTGTGTGTGTGTGTGTGTGAGCATAGCGGTCATGACAATATGAAAGAGTGACTGGGGGTCCTTTAAGCTCCCTCCGAGGCATTCAGCCGTGAATGCCTATTAGAGAAGCACTTACCTTGAAACACACACACACATATACATACATACATACATACATACATACATACATACATACAATCTAGATGTACCCTAAAGGTAGTTAAAGTTGTTTTTGCCGTTAATGTAGATCAAGTGTCACGTTAGATAAAACTCTCTGACAACCACATGGAGCTGATGATCAGAGGTTAAAGCATACTGAGGGCAAGAACTGAAGAGATGTGGATCTCATGGATGCACACACCCATCGAGCGTGCTCAGCATAATGAACACACACACACACACACACACACACACACACACACACACACACACACACACAAGACATAAGACATACATGTATCATATCAAGGATAACCAATAGACTGAAACCAATTTTGAGTTGTGTTTTTTTTAACTGCTTGAGACATGCTTCATGTTAGGGCTCCTTTATTAATTGAAATGTTATAAAAATTTGGACTGATGCAATATCCAAATCGCAGTAAGTGCATTATTTATTATATGCTAAATATGTGAACATATCTGAATGGAGCTGCAGATAAGTACAGGTACTCTACAGACTAAAAGTCTAAAGAAAATAGAAAATCTTTTGCGGTACAGTTCACTTAAAACACACACAAAAAAACAGTAAATATCATTTAATATCATTTATAATTAAAATAATATTAAAAGTTTAAAAAGATATATCCAAAAACTAAACGGAATAAAGTAAGGCTATATTTTAGGTCTTTAGTCAGTCTAACTTTTTTTTAGCATGTCATGTTATCCATCTCATGCTAATGCAGAATTATCCAAAAATGTGTTATCCTTCATTAAAGAGTTCCCATGCTCCATTCTTTATCTCCAACCAAATGGTTTCCATCCATTCGTTACACCCAACAAAGTCATTATGATGTTGTAATTAGGTTTAATCTGGTCCCACACTCCATCTCCATAGCAATCAGCCATCGCTTCCACACCTCCAGCAGCTTCCCTGTGCTCCACTGCTTCTCCTCTCTGTTCATCTTTTACCTGTAACTCCACCCCTTTCCATCACTTTATCACTCCCTTCCTTTATTTCTCTCCATCTTTGTGCCTTTGTTTCATCATTATTTTCAGCATTGATCTAGCCATACCTCGACCACCTCCACCTGACCTGCATTTCACCTTGCTCGTTTATATCTTCCATCTTTTACAACTCCAATTTCCCTTCTTGTGGCTCTATTGATTTGTACATTCACCAATACAATTAAACCGCACCATCTGCACACATCAGCATCTCTGGAACAGGGCAACAAATTAAACAGTCGAGACTGGCTAAAGTAATTATGCCAACACTGGAAATAGTTGCCATGCAAAATAATTAAGAACCAAGCAACCAAGTAATTCCTTATTAAATATATCACATCTACAAAATGTAATGGACCAGTTTCATACATGAGATGATTAATGAAAGAGCCTAGCAACCAAGGAAGAACCAACAAATGAAGAAAATTATAAAAGAAATGACCAAAAGATCAAAGAGCCAGAATGCCAAAGAGACAACCAACCAACAAACAAACCAAGGAACGAACTGAGTTACCAGAGAAGAACCAAAGGAGAAAACAAAGCGCCAAATATCCAAACAAAGAACCAAAGAATGGAACAATTCATTCAAAGAAATGATGGCATCCTCCTAGCGGCTAATGAAAAGTCATTTTTTATTATTTATCCCCAATCGCATTATGGCTTCATTTGGCTCACCTCTCACCCAGGGAATGCATTTCAATGACCTCCTCATGTAAGAATGATTGATTCTTCAGTGAACCAATGCAAGGATTCAGATTACAATCAAAGTCATGATCCATATGCACAAAGCGTAAAAAAACTGCAATGTCATTAACCTGTGTGCCTAAATGACCTTTGATCTGAGGACAATGAGTACAGACATCTCTATTTCTGCTACTGTTTTAAAATGAGTCCCTTTCACTCTCCTTAATTCAATTCATGACTTTGGTATAAATTATGCATGACCTATATCAAAGCTGCACAAATTCAACTATGGAATTAAACATTAATGTTTGTATTACTCTTTCCTTCTCCTTTCTTATTCTCTGTCCCTGTCTCAGTTTCCACACAACACACAGATGAACGGTGTGTGTGGATCCATAGTGGAGCAGCGGTGCGCGGCGGAGCGAGGTTATTGCAAAGGTCAAACCGAAATACGGAGCACACTTTTAAATATGCTCACACACCGGCATACACTCACTCACACTCACACTCACACACACACACACACACACACACACACACACACACACACACACACACACACACACACACACACAGCCTGCACACGTGATGCTCTGTTCGACAGTGACACATGGCTTATGCAACAGATGCTCAGAGATGCAAAAAGAAAGGAATACAACACAGAAACACATGGCTGAAATGCAAGATGTAGGAAGAGTGCACACACACACAGACACACACACACACACACACACACACACAGACACACACACACACACACACACACACACAGACACACACACACACACACACACACACACACACAGCTCTTGTCGGTGCTGTATTGAGTCGAGGGTGACTGAGTGACTCACTGTTGTAGCTGACTGCCTATTTGGCTGTCTGCTGCACTGCCAATAGACACACAATCACAAGACAGTTAATACCCTGCGAACGCTCACATACAGGCAGACTGAACGACTGCGCCCCGAATGTTTTCAAATGTGTGCAAGGTGGCAGAGGGGATGAGTCATTCCTGCCTTCAGAAACTCTTCACAACTGGGAGTTTGACTTTGCAACGACCTTTCAGGCTGTCTTTCTCTGTGTGCTCTCTGGAGCAGAACTCAGTGAGTTCAACGTGTACCCTATGAAAAATCAACACCTGGTACATATGGAAAAGGGCAGATATTTCGAGAGTAGATAATGTATAATTGAGCATCCACTTTCTCTTACCATATCATTTCACTTGTACCAAGAGTATTAAATGGAACAATTTGAAATGTTAAGAAATTCACTTATTCCCCCATCTTGCAAATATCTTCA